AGCGGACGGGCGAGACTTGGGACTGGCGCGGCGTGGGGTGTAGGTTCTGGTGCTGGACCATGAGGGCGGTTTGGCGCAGCAGCTGGACGTGGCGCCGCCAGAAGGTCGGCCACGGCTCGTTCCAGTGCTGGAGTCGCAGCAGGAAGAGAGTTGCAGGCCACAGCACTATCCACGAGCCGTGCGTCATGTACAGCATGCAGTACGGCTTCTCCCATTTCAACTGGTGCTGGATGTATACCGCCGTCTCGGTCTGTACGGTGAAGCTCACCAGACTCAGCGCAAGCAGAAAGGCGGCGTACGTGTACTTCTTCCGCGTCTCGTGCTTGGCTTGCATCTCGGGATCCCGCTCGTGGAAGTGATGTGTGCTCCTTCCCAACAACCCGTCGTCCATGTTGTCGTCCTCCGTCTTGCGCCCGAGCAGGGGCGCATTCGCGCGCCCATACTCGGCATGGTCCAATGAGGGTCTCAGATCTGACGGCATGGCCGCGTCGTGTTCATCCCAGTCGTCGAACTCGAGTTCTGAATTGCCGGGGCTATCTGGTTCTCTGAGCGCAGACTTGCCGTTGGCTTTGCGATGTTGGCGCGACGAAGAGCGTGTGCGGGAGAGTTGGCGAGAACTCGACCCGGAAGCGACGACGGGCGAGGTACTTCTATTTGGGGGCTCGAGGGTGAAGTCTTCGGAGAGGGTGTGGACGAGGGTCTTGCGAGGATGCGGCGGAGGCTTCTTCCTCAGCGGTATGGACTCAGCAGGCATAAGGTGAGTGGCGGCGCAAGCGAATGACAGTACCGGATGGTAGGTGAGTGGGACCGCTGCACGCGTGTGATAGTCTTGGGCGGCAGGACACTATGCTGTCTTGGATCGTGGTAAGCAGCTGGCGATATCCAGGTGTTCACAATGCGATGCGGCCCCTGCATCCCCAGGTGCCGTAACCTCCGCGAGAACTCCGCTCCAAGAGCCCAGTGTCCAATCGCGCGCCAGCTACCTCCGTGCCCACGCGTCCCAGCATGCCCACAAACTTAGACGCTCCCCCTTTCATCTCCATCCTCCAAAAACACCCTCTGCGGCTCCATCACGTCCGTCACGAAGGTTGGGTGTCGACCGCAGTTCCGCCTGAGCACGTCATAGCTTAGCCTCATGCGTGAGAGCGAGCCGCCTTGCATCTAGGGTCATGTGAGAGATAATAACCCCACGCACACCACCTGGGCACCCATGTGCCAGCAAGTGTCTCGCATTAGCGGCACACTCACGAACCATGAGCGCGGCCGGATGTTTTCGAGATACACGCGGTAACCTAGGTACTTTGGGTTGGAAACTAGGGGCTGTCGTTGGTGGAGTGAAGAGACGTGGTGGTTGCGCCTTGAAAACTAAAAGATTAGAAGGCGCACAAGACTTGTAGAGATAAGACATGAGTGATGCACTTATAGCCCGCCTTTGTCCGTTTTTTGGCTCTCTATTACTTCGCAGGTGATCCTGTTTTTGCAAGCACCCATTCCTGCGTTTAGGGAAACTACTGGGCACGTATCTCCCACGAAGTATAACCACAGAACAAAAGCTCAGAAGGCTACATCGTCTTCGGACAAATACAGATTTATGTTTTTATACCAACAAAGACTTCAGGGCACCTGTTTAGTTCCTTCATTGTACAAGTTACGTTAAAAACCTACAGGTGCGTACCCATGGCATGCTTGCGACACGTGAAAGTTGATCCAACTTGGCGTACGACATCCTCTTGGCAATGTTGATGAAGGCGAGTAGCTTGCGAGAAAGACATATCGCCAAACGGTAGACCAGATTTGAATACATGTATACATTAAGAGATAGATGTCTCGCTATCTTGATCATAAATACTCGTTAATCCACCGAACCAACCCAGCCCCAAAACTTCACCACAAAAGCCCTACAACGGACTCCCATCCAATCCCTCGGCCCGTTCCTGTGTCTCCGCCTCCTCCAACTCCTGCAGAATCTCCGGTAACATGGACTCGACATCTTCCTCGCGCTCGCCCAGCGCTTTCGCAATAAGCTTCTTGTACGTGCCCTGCTTCTCACTCATACCTGCCACACTGAGATTACTGACGACTTCTCGGACGAGTTCCCGCCGCTCGAGTTGCGCGCGGTGGAGTAGGAGGGCTAGTCGCATCTTCTCTGTTACATCCACAGGCGAAGTATCGGCGTTTTGCTGTGGCATACTACTGCATAGGCGTCGGAGCTCGGCTTTTTGTTCAATCTCAAGTAGGGACTCGGCTTCTTCCACAAGTAACCGCAGTTCTTCTTCTTGCTGCCGATCTGCTTCGTCGTCGTTGAGGTCGATGTGTATGCCATTCGACATGAGCTGGAGCTCGGCGACTTGTTTCCGTGCGGCTTCGAGTTCGGCTTGGCGTCGCTTAACTACCCGTTCTGCGTCGAAGGATTCCGCCTCCTTCTCTTGCAGTTCGGATTCGTATGCCTCGGCTAGCTCTTTGCACTTTTCCAGCAGCGTTGGCGCGACTTTGTTCATGAGATTTGAAGCGGTCTGTGAGCGGTACTGGATGGGTTCTCGGACAGCCATGCTGGGGAATGGCACTGGGATTAGCGGTCCGCCATCTAGATGTGGCACATGTCCGTTGAGTCGGTGTTCTGGTGGCGGCGCGAAAGGTGACGATGAAGCTTGCCGTGGGCGTCCATGCGTTCGTCGTCGACTGTTGAGCTCCCTGATCAGATCGTCTGCCGTCTCGCCCTTTTTGTTCATTATGTCTACGGAGACATTACGTCCCAGCAAACTTCGCACGCATTTCCTCGCCCCGTTCCGCGCAGCAATCATGATCGCCGTGTCGCCATTCTGGTCTACTGCGTTCAGTAACCGCGTGACCTCGTCTGGTATCCATGTTTCTGACAGCTTGTTGATGATGCAGTCGAGATACCACCTCGCGCAAACGTACTTGTTCGAGCTGCTCGTTGTCGCTGCGATGTGGTGGAATACGGTACTTCCAAACCAATCTGTCCGGTGAACTGTCTGCTGAAAAATCTTGACCATGCTGGGCATAGTCTCCTTGTCAAAGTTGTTGGTGAACATGACGGCGCGCATCAGGGGAGTCTCTAGGTTGTTCGATAGACAATCAATGCGCGCTCCCCGGTGTATCAACTCCTTCACGACCCCCACATCACCCATTGCCGCTGCCCAATGCATGGCTGCATGTCCCTTCTCGTCGATCGGGCGGTCCAGATTTATGCTCTGCGGTGGTTCAGGCCATGAGACGGCAGATTCGTGGTCTAACAGCATGAAGTAGTCCAGCAGCTGGTCTGCCCATATTTGGTGTTGCTGATCGAGCAGAGACATCTGGTCCATCCCCCTCTTGCGCTTCCTATTGCCGCCCGTCGAGTATGAATCCAGCATGTCTGCGTCGCCCAGCATCGACTCGGAAATGACAGTCTCGTTGTCCGGTGTCTCTTCGCGGAAGATCTGCGACCTGATCTGGGAGGCCTCGTACGGCTCTTCGCTAACTTGCGACTGCGCGCTGGTGGTTACGAATGCTGCGATATCAGTCAGCCCAATCTCCCGTATCCATGCTTGACAACGACCAATGAGAGTGGCCTCCTACACTGCATAGACTCAAGCGAATAGACGTTTTTACCATTCCGAGCAGCCGCAGCCGCAGTTTGCTTGGGCGGCTTCATGCGATTCGACGCAGCAGTCGCATGCTTGGGCGCAGGAGGAGGGCTGCGGTCGCCAGGGACATAGTCGAAGATGGCGCGCATCTTGTCCAGGACGCCGTTGCGCTCTGCCAGATGGCGGCCCTCCTCCAGCGGTATCCATGTGCCCTGGTATTTGCCATAGCCGCCCTGGACCTTTTCATGCACGCCCTTCTGGACTTCGCGCTCGAGGATGCGGGTTCGCGCAGGCTTGTCGTAGTCGGCTACCTTGAGGATGTGGGTCGCGTTGATCCAGTCGTCGGCGCGGCGGCGCATGACATGGTTGCCGTTGACATTGCACTCGTAGACGGGGACCTGCAGGCGGGCTTTGTCAGTGCATCGTCGCAAAGGTGAGGTGTCGCAAGCAGTGGGGAGTGCGCACATTACTGTATGTTGCCGAGTAAATCTTGCCATCGGGCGCGGGGGCCATCTTCACCATTCGATTAGCTGTAGAAGGTGTCTCGGGGCGTGTCAAGTGATTTCGTGAAGGCGTGTCTGCGGTTCGCGTCAGACCTGGGGGAAGGCGCGTTGGAGTCCGCGTTCGCGACTGCCCTGCCAAGCGTCGGGGTCATCAGCTGCCTTTGCCGACACCAAGTGAACCTCACCAAGCTCGCCCGCCGACGACCCTCCGCCCACCAGCCCCCCGCGCGCCATTGACGATAAACAACACCCCGAGCCGCCAGTATGACTGTCACAGAGACCATCAAGCATGCCGTCGGCCTCGACGGCGAGCCGAGGAGTACGCCGGCCCACGCATCCTACGCATTCAAGTAATAGAAACTGACGGGACCGCAGAGGCTACCCGCGAGGAAATGAGCGCCGCCAAACTACCGCTCCCCTACCGAGACTCATGCGCACATCTTCTTATCCCCTTGAACCGGTGTCGGTACGAGGAGTACTACCTACCATGGAAGTGCGAGGTACGCGAGAATGGATGAAGAAGGGCCAGAGCGGGCGGCTGACAAGAATTCTAGAACGAGAGGCATTCATACGAAAAGTGCCAGTACGACGAGTTCAAGGAGCGGGTCAAGAAGATGGACGAGCTAAGGGCAGCCAAGAACGGACATCGAAGCAACTAAGGTGTTATGCGGGAATGGTCGATGAACGTGTCAGTCACGAGCGGAGCATGCTGCATGTATATATCAAAGCAGCAAGAATCACGAAGACATCAAATCCATGTTCCGGGGACAGTTGACATTCTGGAAGAAAGGCGTTGAAGAAAGAAATCCAGGTCTGACTTGGATCCCGTACTCGATCAGACGGTGGCTGACTCGGAACGCTGAATCGCTGTCTTACTAAGAGTCTAACTCTATGAACGCCTCTATCAAATCTACAACCTCGCCTTGGTATCTTCCAGCGCAGCCTTCTCCCTCAACTCCTTCCTCAAAATCTTCCCAGAAGGATTCTTCGGAATCGCATCAATGAAATGCACACCACCTTCCAAGCGCTTATGTCTAGAAACACGCTCAGCCAGCCACTTCTTGATATTCTCAGCCGTCTCTGGGGTCGCCTTGTCGGGCGACTGAGGCATAATGTACGCGCGAGGCAATTCATCGCCATTACTGACAAAGGTCAGCAGTTGATACAGACCGGAGGTGATCGGGCAAACTTACGCTTTAACGCCAATAACAGCAGCGTCCTGCACATCTGGGTGGTCCAGCAGCAGCGCTTCCAACTCCGCGGGTGCAACCTGTAGACCCTTGACCTTAATCAATTCCTTCTTCCTATCAACTATGAAGAAGTGGTTCTGTTCATCTACATATGCCACGTCTCCCGTCTTCAACCACCCGTCTTCTGTCAGAGTCTCTTTGGTCGCATCGGGCTTGTTCCAGTACCCCTTCATGATGTTAGGTCCGCGAACCCAGATCTCGCCTCTCTCGCCTTGCGGCGCTTCGACCTTGCCGTCGTCATCTACGACGATCTTTGCTTCGCAGTTTGCTAGGACTTCGCCGACAGAGAAGCTGGACGAGTAGGCTGAAGGTGGGAACGTCGTTGCGGCACAAGTCACTTCCGTCATGCCATAACCTTGCTTGACGTTGACTTGGCCGTTCGGCCATAGTCGTTCAAATTCCTCAATGACTTCTCGACCGAGTGGGGCAGCGCCCGAAGACACGCCCGTCACGGAGCCCAAGTCGAACTTCTTCGTCGCGGGGTGCTTTGCCATGGCCACGATGACCGGGGGTACCAGAACCATGTCCGTAATGCGGTACTTTTGCACATTCTGTAGCATCTCGACAAAGTCGAACTTGGGCATCATGTAAACTGGTACGCGTTGTTTTACCGCACCGAAACAGAAGATCGCTTGCGCCATAGCGTGATACATGGGCAGGAAGCAAAGGTACTTCTTCTTCTTCAGCTTCTCATGGTAGTCGGGGCTGGTGGTCTGGATGTGGATCTGTTGGCTGCAGTTTGCGACATAGTTCCTGTGCGTTATCATAACGCCCTTTGCAACACCAGTCGTACCCGAGGAGTAGTTGAGAGCAACTATGCGATCAAGCTCTTCTGGGGTCTTCAAGTCGGGCCATGAGTATGCGTCCCCGCGCTCTGGCGTATCGAGGAGTTCAGTCCAGTGGCGGACATTTCCGAGTTCCGTCTTCTTCTCCACTTTACGGCCCTCAAACGTGGCAACACCATCGTCGAAGACAAAGATGCGCTCAGGACCCATGCCAATCTCTTTCGCAGCCGCGATTCCTGTGTCCAAACTGCCCTCTGCGCATACCATGAAGCGCGCTCCGCTGTCTTTCAATTGATACGCTAGCTCTCGGCCAATGTAAGTGGGATTTGCGCCGGTAAAGACACCCTCTGCCATGACGATGCCCATCACTACTGCTGGGAAGAAGAGCGTATTTCCCGAGTAGAGCAACACGCGATCTCCTGGTTGGAGGCCTGCGCGCTGCAGACCTGAAGCGAAGCGTTTCGCATAGAGACGAAGATCGTGTAACGAGATGTTGTACTTTTCAGGTTCGCTTGCAGAAAGATAAAACGGTTCCTTTGGTAGTTCTACGGTAGGCGAATCGAAGATGTACGTTGGTAGTGAGACCTGGGGTATGGGGAACGAATAGCGGGATTTGATCACCATGGTGGCGGTTCAATGTGCTGGCTGAGCAAACGTCGCAGAGATGTCGAGGAGGAGAATCAACTTGTAATGACGGGGTCCACTCTTATCACTCTTGGTTCTTGGCCCACTATTGGTATCCACGATGCGCTCCGTGCCGTAGCCCTTGTTGATGGCTTGCAAAGTCAGACGCCCGGCGATATAGGCGTCAGCGAAATCCTACTCGGCATCCATCAGCGACCACTCAATCAAGTACACGTACACACAGGAATAGTAACTTACGTTCTACCGATTCCTTCCTCTGCTTAGTGATCCAAATGTCTGAAATATAACAACGACACTTTTCGAGATGGGAAGTCGCGATACATGCATGGTGTAACCCAGCGCACCCATCCACCGGTTCTACTCTACCCCGAGGCATCTCTGCTGACGCCGCTGCATAAACGGGGTGACTAGTCCAAGACAGCACGTCGGGTAGCTCGATTGCGTTAGAAGTGGACTCGGACGGGGGACGGAAGTGAAAGTGGTGAGGTGCGATAAGCGGGGGATTGCTAGTTGTGCCGAGGTAGAAGTCTGGGGTAAGGACGGGGGTTAGCGAGCGGACGTCTGGGCATGCGAATTGGGATGGTTATTCGTCCGTTATTCTAATCATTGCTTATTCAAAAATCTCCTATTTTTATCCATGTCTTTTATGCTTGGGTGCAAAAATCTGGTGCGAAAGTCATGTTCAGAGTCACATCTCAAATTAAAATTTAGTGCGCCATGTCAATAGACCATCTCAAGTCATATCGATCGACATCGCAATCTTCTTTTCAACTCCAGCAAAACCATGACCAGGTAAGAATCGTGTTTTTAGACAGACATCCCATGTGAGGGTAGTCATTTTTGGTCAGACCATGTCTGAGTGATGAGGAAAGAAGAAGTCGGGGGGTTGGAGAGGTACTTATACATCTGAGATGGCGCTAGAGGGGGAATACATGGGACGAAGTATTCATCAGCGTGACATCCAACATGCGCTGTCGGCGTGAACGTCGTTCGTCAATGACGCCATCACCTTTCTTAAAACACCATGTCGTCCCGAAGAGGCGGCGCGAAGGTCAGGCGCCACGAACCTCAAACGATCGTAGCCAACAAATCAATTGATGCCCCTCCACTCGAACGGACAAACAGCGTTTGTAGTCTGCAAACCAACCTATCACCCGGCAGTCTGACGTCCAAACATCCTCGAAGCACGTCAACCCTGTGTTTTCCAACGCCAAAATATCGCCATACTACCCACCATGTCGTATCCGTCAACATCTCTCACAATCCCAATTACAACTCCAGAAAGCAGTTTGATCCGTCGCGCCCGGTGCCCATATATCTCCGCCGAGGCCACATTAAGGACCTCAAGTACGGTGACTCGGTCTCGCCGAAGTCTCTCGCGGGTTTGGAGGAAACGCTGCTGAGCGCTTTGGTTTTGTTGGCGGACATTGTTTATTATCCCGGCTGCAAACATGTCGTCTGATGATGTGTGTGAAAAGGTAGGTGAACTTGCAGCAGACGGTGCTGACCGAGTCTCTCTGCGCCAGTCTTCAACCATCAATGTCGTATCCGGGCTTGGTGGTGGTAGACTTTGAGTTGATCGCTGTGGTGGTGTAGCCCTCGGAGGACTCGGAGATTGTTCCATCGGACGATAAGCCTGAGATGTAGGCGTCCATGGCGCTGCAAGAGCTCCACCGAAAATCTCATTCATAGATCCTCTTAAGGGCTGCGGGGTTGGTCGTTCATGTCCCTCTTCTTCTGCTTCCTCTTCATCTTCCTCCATCTCCTCGTCTTCCGTTACCGAAACGCGGTCCTCGGGCTCGCGCTCATCATCCGAACACTGGAACTGTTCGTCGAACATATCCTGCATGACCTCCAACGCCCCCATGAAGATACGACCAGACCAAGTCTCCAACATGTTAGCGTGTCTAAGTTGGTCCTCCACACGCCGAGCAACCTCAAGCTCCAACCATGCGGATTCAGCCGCAGCGTGCATTTCACATATCATAACCCATTGAAGCCCCGCCTGGATCCGCGATGCGCATACACGTTTTGGAATCCCGACATAGCATTCCGCACCAGTTCCATGGAGTCTGCGTTGCTCGTCGAAAAGGTTGTCGGTGATCGTCAATAGCTCGGTATAGCGCTTGGTGTCAAAAGACGCATCACGGTCGTAATACGTCTCCTTTTCTTTCCGCGCTAGCGCTTCCCTTGCTGGTGGTAGCAAGTTTAGCTCGAAGAGCTCTTGTCGACAGCTCGGACACTTGTTGCGGTTCTCGGTGTAACCTTCTGTCATGTTTCGTAGACAGTGGAGGTGCAGTGTGTGTTGACAGGGGAGTTGAGCGAGGCGGGTACTCCGATCTTGGGAGTCTACTTGCAGGAGCTCCAGACAGATGGCGCAGTTCGAGTCGCTGGTGGCCCCGAAGTCTCGGGTTTGTTGATGGATTCGCTCATCGAGGAAGTGCTCGAGGCTGGGGAGGTTGTTGGATGCCATGTCAGCGGAGGGTAAGCGAGCTGGTTGAGTGCGGAGTGCGAGTGTGATCTTGGTGCGTGTTATAGCGGTGGGTGATTCAGCTTCTGGCGCTTTATATTTATATACGGCCATGTGATTGCCTTCATAGTGAATGTCTATAGGTAGCAGTATATGCGGGGCATATAGTTGTGGCGATGCGCGAAGTGAAATACCCTACCCGCAACATGTATTGAGCATCGCTTTCCCTGTAGGAGAGATCCGATGAGCCCCAAGGAGTCCGTATATAAGCTTCCACTCGTTTGCCCCAACTGTCAAGCAAGCAACACCCCTAACTCAACTCAACCATGTCGATGCAAACTACCGCTCCAGTTCCTGATCAGCAAGATGGTGTCATGCCAGACTTGCCCGCAATGGGGCAATTCATAGCTACCATGGATGGGTCCGTTCAGTACTCCGAGCAGCTTCCCGACTCCTGCAGTATATGTTGGGAAGACTTCAACTGGGACAATGGCGTTGCAGTGCGCCTTCCATGCGGCCACATCTTCCACAATGAATGTTGTCTCGACTGGATGAAATCAGCCAGTGAGAACCGCAACGCCTGTCCCATGTGCTGCACGGTCTTCTGTCTCCTTAATGCTCTGACACCCGAACAAATACGCGATAACGAAGAAGAGCACAACGAGGGTGTATACAACCGCGAGGCTTTCTACTGGCTTATGGCTTACGCTGACTCATGGTACGATGCAGAAATCCGGAATGATGACCTGGATTTTGTGTACATTGTATGCGAAGTGAGGAGGCATTGGCATCGTGAACATCATCCCCAAGCGCACGAGTTCATATGCGACTGGCATGAAGAGATCGGGGACAACTGGCTTGAGCTTATCGTAGCGAATCATATCCGGAACAGGCTCAGCGAGGACGGCCTTGCTGGCTCTCGGGAAAGCCAAGAGCTTGAGACGAGACGCAGTGGGCTAGTGAACTGTGTGAACTGGATGATTAGGGGTTCCAACTTCATTGGCGAGGTCTGGGTCCCGCAGAATATGCAAGAATTCGAAGCGAGGGCCGCGGAGAATGCAGGGGACAATGAGGATCACCAGCAAGAGCAACGCGACGACGACCGTCAGGCTGACGAAGATTCAGAGACTCACGAGCGATGGGCATCTGACCATTCCCAAGAGGACGAGGAAGGCTTAGAGGAAGGCGAAATCCTCGAGGACGCAACCAGTCAAGACACCTCTGAACTTTCCCATCCCGAAAGCTTCGAACTTTCCGATCCTGGAACAAGTCCCGTGAATACCGGTACAGTCGAGCAAGCTATCATAGCACGCAACGACGCTATCCACCAACGTTTCCGGGAAGAACTAAACGCAGAGATTGTCGTAGGCGCCTTGCACGAATTACACGATTTCAGGAGCGCTGAAATACTACCCTATGGAGAAGTACAGCGCCGTCATTCGCGCTCCCAATCTCCATCCCCATCTTCACCATCCCCACCCTCACCATCTCCATCAACAGACTCTCTCTTTCCTCTCCCCCCGGCCACGGAACTAGCCGACCTCCCTCCCCCACACCCCACAGTCTCGGAACAAGACGTGGTCGACACGCGCTCCTGGCTCAGGTCAGAGGGCCACACCATTCTTTGCGAGATGCACAACGTAGCCTCAGTTGTGTATCAAGGCGATGGTACCTATGACGTTCATGGTTTTGAAGGAGATGATTTGGGGGTCGTGAGGGATGCGGATGCGTATCATGTCGTGGGGTGGATTGCGATTTTCTATCGTTATGGAGAGGGCAGTGGAGGTTTCAATAGCTCCAGGAGTCGTGTGCTGCGTCCTGTATAGTTATATTTCCCGTGTACGATATCGGCGCGGTTTCAAATGGAAGATTCGATGAACGTTATTACATTCGTGTGGGAATTTGTCCAGGGTTTTGTTTGCTTGAAAGCGAAGTGGGAGCTTGCAAATGAATATGTTTGACGTCCATATCTTCCAGTGTCATCCAATTGGTGAAAGAATACGCCAGCCGTGGGTATGCCCCTCCAGAAGCGTGACCGACTTGTGATATTCCCAAACGCCAACGCTATGCATAACAAAAATGCGTGAAAGATGTACCTCCTATGACATCTCACAGGAGCCCAACTATGCCTTGTCCTCGCCCTCATCATCACTGCTTTCCCTCTCTTCCCATCCCACCATCCGTCTCAACACGCGATTCTCTTCTCCCAACTCTTTACATCTGCCCCTCAATCCTTGTTCGACTTCGCTCTGGCATCTTAATGCGCTCCTTGCGTTCTCCGCGACGCGACTCAACCCGGCCTGCCAGTCTGCATGCTCTAGCCGCAATGCCATAGACGTTGAGCGTTCCTGGTCTAGAAGCCCTTGGTAGTGCTTGTGCAGAGCAAGCATGGCTGAGGTTTGCGAATATGCGTACGGACGAAGTTTATCGAGGAGAAGCGTCAAAGCGGATTCGTAGTCGGTGAGGAGGGCGGAGAGAGATGTATTCGTTGAGGTTAGGGATGCGATGG